CTTCCATCCTTTCTCCCTTCTTGACTAATAGAGGGCCTACTGCATGCTGAGATTCCGAGGTGAACCAGATCCCTCCTCCCAGGAGCGGGTGGCCTCACAGCAGCCCCTCCCTTACCTGTTGCCCGGTGCGTCTGGTGCAAGGGAACAGCCGGAGGGCTGCTGAGGGGTGGAAGCTCCAGTTTGGCCGCTGACACTATGTCTGTTGTCTAGACCTTAGCCGTTTTGTTCTCTAAGCCGGAGCAGTGTCCAGCTGGCCCCCAAAGATAGAAAGGAGCTGGGTCCTTAAGAATCCAGGCTTTGCTAGGAGACCACGGTCCCTTAAAGCAAAACTGGGGGCTCCAGTGCTCTGTCCTATGTGCCTCCTTGAGAAACTGCCCTATGCCAGGTAATATGTGTCACAGGGTTGACAGACCCTGACAAGTAAGTACACTGCCCCTCCTGACTCCCATACCAGAGCCAGACGTTACTAATCTTTCAGCCAGACGGGATCTTTCCTCCTCAGCCTCTCCATTCTTCTCCACCCAGCACTTCAGGCAGTTACTCTCAACTGGTCAGAGCTTAGATGTGAGCTCAAATCTGTTTGCCACCCTTAATGTATAGGATTCGGCTTCTGGCTGTAGTCTGGGAAATGCTAGGACTTCAAAAAAAAAATAGGACTCTGTTAGTTTCTGAGCACAGACTAAGCTTCCCCCACATGGACTTTCCTGAGAAGGGTGTGTCTGGGCGGCGGGTGATTGGTCAGTGCTGTGGAGTGGGGCCCCGTCACAGTGACCCTGCACCCAGCAGGACAGAGCCCTGAGGGCCTTGGCAGCCAGCCTGGGCTCTCTCTGGTCACTTCTGGTGCCTGAACATGGTTCCTAGCCCCTCAGGCCACCCCCACCTGCCAGGCGAGCGGCTGCTCTTGAGGTACATGTGGCTCTGAAGTCAAGAGAAAGGGTTAAGGTGTGATCCAGGTCCCGGTTTGTCAAGCACACTGATGGCTCCTCAGCCTTGATGGCGGTCTCTCCAGTAGCTAGTGACAAAACTCACAGTTTACATTTCCAGGTGTCCCTCATGTCCAGCCCACCCCCGGGTGTCTCCTGAGGAAGGGAACCTAACCAAACGCAAACTCCCTGCCACCGAGTCCATACTGACACGGTGACTGTG